CCAGCATTTCAGGAGGAAGTGAGAGAACGGGACCAGGAAGTATTTAAGGAGATAATGATTTAGGGGCTCAGAAATGGTGAATAACAGTCAGTAGAGAAGTAGGCTGTCCAGTGGATCAGGTTAAATCAGAAGAGATTCACACTTAGACACATTATAGTGAAACTGCAGGAAACGGAACACAGTTTGCCAACATGTGTGCACTGGAAGCTGAGCCTAGTGTGAACACGCAAGAGCCGACTCACAGATGAAGCACCAGCCAGAGGATAAAGTCATAGACATTATGAATTGCTGGAGAGTTGTACTAATTAGGGTTTATGTGATTGACTGGGGTGGATATTTCAGTCAACACACAGAAGAGAAAAACCCAAGAGAAAGTCAACAGTATGAGGAAGCTTTGTTTATGACAGAGGTGACATTGCGGATCAGAGTTGAAGGGACAGAATTTTTAATATATATGTAGTTGCATAAATTGTTTACATATATGGAAACAAATTGACACCCCACCAGCCCTGGTTAATATTATACACGAATTAATCAAGTCTAAGCTGATTAAAAATCTAACAGTGAAAGGGAAATTTTGTGATGTTTTGTATTCTATGTAGGAAGCTATCTTAATTCAATATAAAGAGCTATCTTAATTCAACATAGGCAGCTCTCTTAGCGATCTCAGGGTAGAGAAATTTTTTTTTATAAACAGTAGATACAATGAACAAATCACAAAGCCAAGTTTGATAAGCTCAAATGCCTCAAAACTATGGTCACCCAAACCCAAAACAAACAAAAACAGAAACCCAAGAAAACAAAACCCAAAAGAAACCCAAACAACCTCACCAAATGCAAATGAAAACTCAAATCTCAAACTGGAGAAAGTGAACAGAAAAAGTAAATAGCTCTTATAAATCAACATGAAAAATACGAAAATGGGGCCTCCCTGGTGGTGCAAGGGATTAAAAACTATGAAGCTGTCCGCAGCCACTGAAGCATGGGTCTGATCCCCGGCCAGGAGCTGACCCACAGGGCGCAGCAGACCCCTCCTGTCTCCCCGCTGCCCCCTCCGCAGTGGACTTCAGTGGATCCACCTGTGCTGCTCCCCGCTCTGTCTCTGGGGAGTCCTTTCAGCTCCCACACCTCTGACCTACACCCAGCTCTGGTATGCATAAATAAATCAATCTTAAAAAAAGCAAGAAAAAAAGAAAAATACAAAAATGACAGAAAAGTGGGCAAAAGATTTGAAGAAGCGCTTTGTGTAGACAAGAAACATTAACCAGCAGAAAAGATCTGAAAGTGTGTTGAACCACATTCGTTCCCAACAAAAGGTCAGAGGAAAACACTTGCCCATTTGGTAAATGTTCTCACAGCCAGCGTCAGGGGTCGACGGGACCAGGAAGTGACGGGTCACACACACTCATGGGGCTGTGATGCGGCCTGGGAGTCAGGGTAGTGACACTGTCCAGAGAAGCAGGAGCTTCACATGCCCTGTGCCCCAGAACTTCATCCTGAGAAGACATTCCTGCGTACAAATAGTCTTGAAGATGGGCCCTGACTATCTAGAATGTTCTTAGGGGCATGGGTATAAGTAAAACCTGAAAAGCAAGTCACATGCGTCTGGCTTGGGAAGTGAGTGGCTACCCGGTATCACATGTGCACAAGGGCATGTCAGAGGGCCACGAAGTTGAGGGGCTTCTGCCTAGTCACAGTAGCCCAAGTTCATGGTTCTCTGACTAGTCACAGTAGCTTAGATCATCTTTGGAAAGTGAACGGAAGCATCGTTCGATGGCGGAGCAATCTTACTTCTCTTTCAGTCGCCCACACTGCTGCAAAGTCTTATGTGAAGGAGCTCATTTGGCCTTCACGGAACTCTACAGGGTAGGCACAACTGCTGCTTTCATTTTGTGCTGAAGAAACACGCACAGGGTCACTAATTCCACCAGGATCTCACAGCACAGAGCTTTGATCAGTTATCAAAGCCCAGGTTTTCTGGGCTCAAAGTACGCTCTGTAGTAAGTTTCTTTGGGACTAAAATTCAAAATGAAGCAAAACTAAGCAAATTATTTATCCTGATGCCAACACTGTGGCCAAACTAAAAATGAAAGCAAATGCATGATTTGCACAAACTTCTGGTCAGTTGTCCCCTTGGGGGTGAGAGGCTGTAATGGGGTGTGGGTGGGAGGAAAACGTCAAAGACGCCGGCACTTTTTATAAAGACGGCGAACAAGTGCATCTTTACGCCTTCTGTATATTTCATGAGTCTTCTGTTCCTAATCAATATTTAAAGCAATTGAAGAAAATAAGGGGAACCCAGGAAACCCTGCAAAGCTAGCAAAGGCTTCATGTTTCTGCTCATGTACTTTCTCAGAGCTTTGCTGACCTGGATGCACTTTCCATTCAGTGAATTTCTGCAGGAACCGACACGAGCACAAGCAGCATCATGAGCACGGGGGCTGCAGCCGGCCCGGACAGCAGGCGCCAGCAAACCCGCCCGCCACCCGGCTGCCAGCTCTGCCCCCAACTCAGGCCTGTGCGGCCCTCCGGCTCCCGCTGCAATCGGCAAGGGACCAGGAGGGTGGGAGCGGGCACCCTGCCAGTCTCACACACCAGGAAGCCCTCCCTTCAGGCACCGAGCGTCTGTCGCGACGCAGCGTAGTTCAAATGCCCGCAGTTGCAATTTAACGTCGTCCTTCCTATGCAGCCATGGTGCCCGCCCCGTGGCTGTCGTTACCGAAAACCAGCTCTGCTCTCTCCACAGCACCCCACTGCTCCCCAGACTCAGGGCGGCCATCCGCTCCCTCGGGGAGGTCTCCCCCAGACTTGCCCCTGCAGAATACACAGGCACTCCTCAGCGCCCCTGGTGCTGCGCACCCGCCTGGAACAGTCTCTCGGCGGCACCTGCTTCCTACTATTCCGTGTTCAGGGTCGCCAGTCTCATCTGGAATTCTCCTTCAGGTGGGCCATCAAGGCACACGGGTCTCCACACGGCGTCCACTAAAGGCGCTTGCACACAGGGCGTCCGGACTGTGACGATGGAAGTGAAGTGACCGGGCATCTCTCGCCGCGCGCCCGCCTCTCTTGGCACAGTCCGTGGTCAGCACTGGCCCTGCCCACATGCGGTATGGGAGGGGGGACATGGGCTCACCCCTGGAGGGGGAGTGCTCAGGTCATGATGCCCTACGAGTGGGGGAGCTACTGTGGCCCCCTCCTGTGATGGGTGGGGCTCCCCGGGCCAGGCCTAGGGTGAGATGTGCCGCGCTCACCACGTCTCTTGATCTTCTCAACAACCCTTTGAGACTGGCCTGGTCTGGCGTCCACTGAGCAGATCAAGGAAGTGAGACCCAGGAAGGCCATGTAATTGCTGACGTGTCCCAGCTGGTGCAGGGCTGCGATTCCCGCCAGGCCCTCCGAAGCCGCCTCTTGTTTCACTGAAGGGTTTGGCCGGGGTAAACAAGCACGTGACTTTAATAGCTCCTTTCTTGGGTTAACGCAGCAGAATCCCTTTTAAGCTCTCTGTATCTTAAAAAATACCCCCCCCCCCACTGTAACAGGGGAGGCCGGCAGGCTGGCAGTGACGAGGCGTTTCTACTTGACTTTTAGCCTCTGATCAAAACCTCTTTGTTCTTGGCTGTGATGTGCTGTCTCTGTACTTGGGATTTTGAATTCCAGGCAACCAGATCTCCAGCAAATCCTGTTTTCTCTTTCCAGTGAAGTCCTTGTGTTAAGGCGAGCGTGTCCTGAAGGAACTCTGCAGTCCTGTGGACCCCACCCCTCCTCCAGCGCCTGGACTGCGCCCCACTCCAGGGACTGGAAACTACAGCTCCCGGCAGCCGCAGGGAGAGAACTGCGGGGACCCCAGGGCGGAGCGAGCCGCCTTCTGGGGCTTTGGGGGCTACATGGGAGCGTTTCCCAGCTGACACTCTGGAGAGGTGACGGCTCTCTCTGGAAAACCGTTCTCAGGCCGTGGGACTGGGGCGGGCAGTTAGCTTGGGGCTAGAGCCCCAGGTTAGGGGCTGGCAAACTGTTCCAGTGACTTGTGTCCCTCCTCTTTCCCTGGGTTGTTCCTTTTCCTTTCCCCTTTTTGTAAATAATAAACCCATGACCCTTTCTGTGTGCATCTGCAGAAAATTACATTTTGAGCGTGCGGGTGAGGCCCCACAGACAGGCGGCCCAAGTCTACTCTGGGCTGCCCTGAAACACTTGGAGAATGAAGAAGTCCTTCTCCAGGACTTCTTGAAATCAGCTCCAAATCGGGCCCACCCCAAACCTTCTGACATCTCCCCATCTTGCTGGTATCAGGTGCATTTGGACATGAGCCTGGGTTCCATGAGGCCAACCTCCTTCCCTTCCCGTAACTTAGCGGTGGGGCACCGTGGGGTATATATCAGACAGAGCCGGAAGTGGCCGCTGATGTGGCCTCCACGAAGGCCCCACCACCAAGGCCACGCCTTCTTCCGAATTCTCTGCGCAGTCGCGTAGTCAAGCCTATGCCGTCATCGTAAATGGTCCCTGGGCTCAGTTCTCCAAACATTTGTCTGCCTCATAAACCCCCAGGGGGCGGCTGGTTTTGTGTCTTGCCATTAATAAAACACAGCCTCTTAATGGCAGGACCTGGTTCTATTACGGGACTTGTCAGATGGTTCACGAGTTGTTTTCCGGCAGAGGACGAATAGAAAATCCGAGCTGCCCAATGATGGGAGAGCGCGTGGCCGTGGCGGTTGGCAGATCCTTAGCACAGACTGAGGTTCACAAAACAGTTGTGCAAGGACGTCTAACAGGTAATGTGCAGTAACGTGCGGAACGCGCCGTGTGGCTCGGTTCACGGTCACCGACGGACACGTACCGGGGACTTCTGCACAGACGGACGGAGTGGCCTGGCATTGCGTTACTTCTGTGATAACAGACCCAGGTATGACGACAGGTCACAGCCTTCGTTCCGCCTGGAGAAGCTTTTAAAAGCCCCGCCGGGTGGCCAGTCTGCAGGACACCAAGTTTGCTCAGCCGGTGGGTACCCGAGTGGCCTTCGGCTGGTCAAGACCATCACCAGTTGGCGACTCTCAGGACGGGAGCAGGATGCTCCACTTCCCAGCACTGCCCGGGCCACCACACCCACGGCTGCTGCGAAGGACATGCCCGCAGCCGAGTGGACGCCGTCCTGCATCGCAGCTGTGTGCCTCCCAGTTGGCAGCTTTTTAATTACCAGCCAACCACGAAGCTGAATCCTAGTTAGGCGGCTCTCGTAGCACCAGAGGACAGGCCTGGCCCTGGCCCAAGAGCTGCTCCCTAATTACTTCTGGGGAAGTAGAAGGCAGCCGAGCTGACTACCTGTTGGGTGCGAGGCTCTGATCTCAGGATGCCAAAATTGCTGCTTTCCATGTCCCCAAGATTCAGTGGGATTTACACTTATTAATTCCTGCAAATCAAAATGAAGTGACTCCCTAAGGTGGAAGGCAGGGGTTGTTCACATACATCATGAAAGGAAAGAATGATCTGGAGTTTACAGAGAGTTTTATCCTGTACGTGCCCCAACAGGGGGTGGCTCACCTATGGGGCCTCTTTGTGGGCCACACATTGAGCTGGGCCCTTTCAAGGGGCGCTGATAAGCACCCCCACTCAGCGCTTGAGCAAATTTTAGCAGCAAGGTTTCAAAGAGAAAATATACTTCTCCTAGGCAAAACCGTCGTCCAGCTTGAGAAGTGTCCCTGGGGAAACACGCACGCATGGGGCTCTTGGCTTTTGCCAGACAAGTTCAACACGGCACGGTGGTCAGGGATTTTGGTGTCAGATGGGGCTTCCTGTCTGATGCTGACCTGGCCACGCTGCGGCCTCCAGGCCGCACCTGCCCTCATCCTCCTAGAGGATAAAAGTATTACGTTTAATCCTGGCACTAAAACTGCCTCATAAAACTTTATAGGTAACGACTAAAGTATCCACCAGCAAGGTCGAGATCAAATAAACTGGCGGATAAAACACAAGGCCGCCAGATTCACCCAGGGGCTCAGCACCAGGGTGCGGGCCACTGTGGGTCTGGGAAGTAATTCTGGGCAGGCACGGAGCGCCATTTCCCCAGTCACACCCGGGGCCACGCCAGCTCGTTAAACACACGATACTTCTGCAGTGCGACCTGGGCATCAGAACCAGGGCACAGAGCTCTGCCCGGCTGCGGCACGGAGGCTCAGCCAGCTCGGAGCGCGTCTCGTAGGTCCTGAGAGCCGCTGCTTTGGGTTTAGAGGCAAGACATTGCTCCCGGCTTAGGTACTACTCTTGTGATGTTGCAACTTTGACGTGTGTGAAGTGGGGTAATGCTCAGTCTAAAATAATTATTGAGTGGATGTGTATAAACAGGTGGGTTTGCAGGGACGCACCCCTGGGCCTTACTGTCTCAATGCAATGCTACTTCAGTTTCAAAGAAAGTGGGTTTCTCGACACTTTAAAATATTACACACAGATATAGACAAAACGGTTTAAGAAATTTGTGAATATTACACAAAGATACAGAAAAAAATGATTTAAGGACTTTGTAGGAAGTGGAGGCTCTTTCTGCGTGTTAGGAGAGTTGGGGATTTTCATTCTCTGTGTATTTTCTAAAGTTTCCACGAGGACTAGGAACACTTTTAACAGCAGGCAAAACTAGGTTACCCTCAGACCTGTTCACTATTTCCGAGTAGACTCTTGGGGATGCTTGCTCCCCACCCGTCGTCAGTCTGGCGGAGGGAGACACCTTTTCCCGTTCCCAGAACAACCTGACGGTGGAGGGCGCTGCCCTGCAGGGAAGGGCCTAGCGGTCACCTCTCTCGGCCTCGCACAAAACACTCAGAATCGCAGCGCCAATGTCCTTATTTATCAGTTCTGCCCTGATGATGAAGACATCGGAAAACAAACCCACGACACCTTTTCCCAGCGCGGAGGGCGGAGGGGGCCGCAGCAGGCCCATCTGAGCCAAGGAAGGGGCGTAAGTAGCTAATTCCTGTTGTTCGGGATGCAAGCTTTGCTGCAGGGCAGGTGGTCTGAAGCAGCAGCTGGCTGCAGAAGCAAGGAGAAGCACGTGGCCCGGATGCTTCCTGTGCCCCATCTCTTTGCACCCAGCTAATATGATTTCCTGAGAGCTGTCTGGGGACAGGGGCTAGGCCCTTATCTGCATAAGGGGTGCCCTGACTAGAGGGGTGCCCTAACTAGGTGAGTGCTTTTGACTCAACTGACCTTTCCACAGGCGATGCGAGTGCAGATCTCACACTGTGCTGCAGACACACGTGCAGTCACGTGCAGCTTCATGGGTGTGCACGCATGTGCGTTTATCAGTTTCTCTGCACCAGCCTTTCCGGTCTATTCATTCAGTGGTAAGTGTCCACTGGGAGTGAGTAAGGAGCGAGCTCTGGTTACCAAGGCCAGGTTGTAAAATTGTAAGGTATCTCAGGCCAGCATTTCACAGCCCTCGCTTCAGAGTAGATTGAGCAGAGCATTAAAAGACGAGACCAACGTCCAGGAGTTCTGATTTTCTGGCCTGGGAAAAGATGCCGAAATTACGTTGGTTTAGAGCTTCCTGGGTGATTCTAGTGTCTGCCAGCTTTACCCTCTGCTGCCTACAATTGACTGGGCTAGTGACTGTCACGAAGCAGCATTCTCCACTACAGCCAGGCACGGCGGAACAGAACCATGTGTCTGTGCGTGTGCGCGCATGTATATTTTGTAGTTAGAGGAGGGGGGACGCCAATTTTCAAGCCGCTTTTGCACAATCAGATAGTGGCTGCGTGTGAGCCACGTCTTGGTGAATGTGGTGGACACGTTCACACGCCTGGACAGGAAGCTGTCAGCTAGCCCTGGGATTCTCACTTTAACCTAGCTAGCGACCTGCGGACGGTCTGGGATTCAGCACCCTAAGAAAATACGACGGGCTGGAGCGTCTGTTCTGATGAGAGTCCAGATGCTAAAGACATCGCAAGGGGACCCTTGGAAAAGCTGACGCAAACCAACTGTGTGGCCCAAAAGCCAAAGCGGAAGGGGAGGCCCCAGGCGCCGGGGCGGAGGGGGGGTCACAGAAACGAGCAGGAGCAGAGACTGAAGGGCAGGGGCTCTGGCCACCGAGCAGATGGAAGCTCCCAGCAGGTACAGCAGGAATTGCCAAGGCACCCCGGGCTGCTGCCAGTGGGGTGCAGCCCTGACTCGGGGCCTATGGAGGGAGGGCGGTCCTGAGCCGCCTGTCAGCTCCCCAGAGGCTGAGCACGCGTGGCCACGAGAGTCTGGAGAGTGCGAGACTCCCCAGGCTTCCAAGGGGAGCTCGGCTGCCCACACCTGAATTTGGACTTCAGGACCCCAGAGCTGCCAGAGAAGCCTTCAGTGGTTTGGCACCGCGGACAGTGGAGGTCTGCTCTCAGTGGGAAGGAAGCTGCCCCCTCAATGCTCGTCACGCCCACAAACCAATTGTGTGTCTGTCCGGAGGCTGAGGCTGCCACCTGCCCGCGTCCACGTCAGCCAGACCCTGCGCACACGCCCCCGCTTCCCCCGGAGGGCGGAGCCCTGCGTTTGCTGTCGGGTCGGGCCAGCTCCCTGGCGCCTCTGTGCGTCTCAGACTGGCGACTTGGACAAGGAAACGGACTCTAGAGGCGTTAGTGGTGGCGCCTGCCCGCCCTCCCCCGGGGCAGCGGGCAAGAGGCCGCCCCCAGGGAGACGATGCCCAGAGGCGGGCTAGCAGGTCAGGCGGGGGCTGGGCCCAGCAGCTTCGCGAGGACCAGAGGTGCCGGCTCCAGGTCTGGAGGCCTGTGAGCCCTGCGGGTGACACCACCTGCCTGTCACTCAGACCCCAGCCTGCGCCAGCCAGACAGGCGTCCTGCGGCCACCCTGCTGGCACAGGTGAACCCCCGGCCGGCCAGACCTTCCTGTGACGCGGCCAGTGACAAGCAGGGCAGGGCACACCTTCCTGGCCCAGACTCCTCCAGGCCGCTCTGCTCCCCCAGAGGACGCCAGTGCCCGCCCTCTGGCACAGACCAAGGCGGGTGGGGTGTGCGCACCCCTACTCAACGCAAGGCTGCGGCTTTTCTGTTCCTTGTAAACATCTCCCACGACTGGGGAGCTGCGGGCCTCTCGCGTTGATCACAGACACGCCGACCCGAGGGTTTCTGGTGACTCAGAGGCATCCGGTGCCTGACCCCAGCCCTCGCCAAGAGGAAGCTGGGCTCCCTCTTCTCTGGGGGGGGGGGGAACCCCTCTGTTACTTTTACCCGGCACCTGGGCGCGAAGCCGTCGGTAGGGCTTCCGGGGCCCTGCCCGTGCGGGCTGGGGTGGCAGCTGTTCCAGGAAAGGGCTCTCTGCACGCGGCCACGTGGCCTCGAGGCCTCCCCGGCTCTCCGGAAGCCGCCGCGCGGGAAGTCTCCCCGCTGGGACCCCCCCACCCCGGGGCGGCCGGCGTCTCAGCTCCTGCCCGACGGCACGTCGGTACTTACTGCCTGTTCATAGTTCTCGGCACCTGGCCAATCAGGGGGGTCTTCAGCTCAGCCTGCGGAAACAAACGCGAGCTCGTTAGTGGGCTTTACTGCCCGTGTGTTAATTCTGGCGAACACGCCGCGTCGCTTCTTGTTAGAGCGGGGTGCAGGTGCTGCCTCAGAGGGAGTCGTGGAAGGGGCAGCCAGCAGGTGGATAATTGGGTTATTTCTGGCGCCTCCCGGCGCTGTCAGCATCCATCCATCCGCCCAGGAGCCGGCAGACAGACCCTGGGCCTCTTGCTCCGGGCAGCTGTGGCTTCCCTGGGGACCACGCGGCTGGCCCAGGCTCGGGGCGGCTGCAAACACCAGGGAAGGACGCTTGTCTCCGAACTGTGACGCCGCCTGAAATATTGGGCGGGCTTTGCTTTCCACACCACTTCAGGCGGATGCGGCGTCTCACGCAGGGCCGGCGCCGGCCGGTGGGGGCACCTCAGTGCTAATCACCCTGCGAGTGGGCAACAGAGGCCCTGCAAGACTTCCATAAGGCCTGTGCCTTGTGACCAGCTCAGACACCCTGGAGGCTGTTGCCATGCAAATCTGGACTAGAGAAGGGCGCTCCTGTGTTGGGGAGAAGAGGGGCTCTGCCTGGGAAATTTGCGGAGTTCAGCAAAGACACCAGCAAAAGATGCGCCAGGCAGTGGGGAGCCACAGCACAGGGAAGTACGGGGGTGGGGGGTGACCACGG